GTTTCCTCGCCGTGTTTCCGAGCACATCTTGCTAAAATTATCATCCTGTGACCGAAAGCTGCCCAGAAAAAAACAGAGATAAAGCCTGAGGCTTTATCATGGAGTTGTGTCCTTCAGGCAACTCATGGAGTTGTGTCCTTCAGCCACTGTGTAAATAGGATATTTTTAATTTCCTTCAGGATGAGTTTGGTTTGGGTGGAGTGAAAATGGAGGTGGAGGAACTCGACCTGACCTTGCTGGGACCTCTGACTGAATGTGTGAAACCATTCAGCAGCAGAATTTTGGAGAGATCCGAAGAAAAACAGGCAGAGAAATGAATTTTAAGAATTAATTCAGTCTGGGACAAGAACTTGTGCTTTGGCTCTGGTTAGGATGATGGGTGCTGTGACACTTTGTCCTGCTCTGCCAGGAAGTTTTGGTGGCTTTAAAAGCCACAGGAACCACCCAGCCCGAGCGAGGTGGGAGTGATTTGGGGATGTTTGGCAGCGCTGGGGTCAGGGAGAGCTCCTGCTCCTCTTGGAGCTGAAATCCGGGATGGGATGAGGGGAGAGCCCTGCAGGGGCTGGGGGTTCAACACCCGGGAAAAGCCCTGGGATCCGCCAGGGAAAATCAGGAATGCTCTGCCTTCCCTGCCTTTATCTGACCTGGGGTTTGCCACCTTCCCACGCAGCCTTCAGAGGACGGGATTTTGTACAGAGTTCAGAAAACTCCACGAGTTTCGCAGCAGTTTTAAATTTTGCATCAGAGAGAGGCAATTCCTGGTTTGTGGGAAGCGCCTGGCACTGTGAGATCACACCTTTTATAAAAAATAACACAGAATCGTCCCTCTTGTGCTCTTCCAAACGGTGCTGAGGACCTCCTAAAATGGGCTGAATTCCTTCAGCCCCCAGAGAACAGCTCTGATTTCCCAGAGATTCCCTGGGAATGGACAGGGAGGTTCATTAAGCAGCACTTCCCTGCTAATTATCAGTGCTGAGCACAGAGCCCAGGTTTTCTCCTCTCAGAAACGCAGTGTGGGGAGGAGTGGCTCGGATCACAAATTCAGAATTTGGATAACAAATTCACATTCATGCTGGTTTTCCCCCTTGGNCTCCTCTCAGAAACGCAGTGTGGGGAGGAGTGGCTCGGATCACAAATTCAGAATTTGGATAACAAATTCACATTCATGCTGGTTTTCCCCCTTGGGCCCTTTTTTAGGACAAATCTGTAAACATTTCCCATTTTTGAGCTGTGTAACACCAGTTCTGCCCTTTCACAGTCTGGTTAATTCTKTCTGATTTAAACTTATTTATTGAAAATCATCTTTTTTCTGAAGAGGAATGAGTAACAGACCTTGAATATTGCAGTGCCAAGCCAACACATGAAAAYCCTCTGGATAATTGCCTTTTTTTTAGGGGAGAAACATGGATGCCATYGAGTTTACCAAATAGTGCCAAGAGAACAGATTTTCATTTTGCCAAATTTGTCTTCCTGGCCTCAATTCTAGGCCAGTGTGCATTTCAAACCAGACAATCTGTAGAGAAAAATGGGGTATGGACAGCACTGATTCTTTTCTGAGGTCTGGCACTT